ATTAGCCGTGATTTCGCGGGGTTATACAGAGGCGGTGGCGCGACATTTTTCGGGGGGGGGGGGTTGCTCACCAACCTTGCGCCGTAGCCGAAGCCGAAGGCGCGACCTTACTTGGGGGTCCGGGGCACAGTCAGCTGGCATCGGTGTTGCTGGGTGTATATGATAGAGGGAAGTTGTGCAACCAAATTTGCCGAGTTCGCAGTTTTTCGCCTATAAAAAAATAACTAAGACAAAAATTCACGGTTTTTCAGCATTTTTGTAATAAAGACATTATTCTCTATCAATAATCCGCCCATTTTGGAGGGGCGACGCCCCCAACATCTTTTTCGAGGGGGCGACCTCATCACTTTTTTTTTTTATTCTGAATGTTTCTAACATGGAATGACAACCATGGTTTATTGTACTTAGATCTATGTCCATTTTTAGGATACGACTTCAATAAAGACTATTACTTACTTACTAGTACTTACAACCAGACCTGAAGCAAAGCTTACCATTCCGGACCCAAAGCACCACAAAACCACGGCTCACGCGCCATTAGGGAATCACCTGTTAATCTGGCCTGGGGGTGCCGGGCAATTCTAAGGGGGGCCTTTCCATTTTCTGTATATGAAAAAGGGGGGCTAACAATTTTTCCAAGAGTGAAGGAGGGGGGTTTATAACTTTCTGGGTTTAATCACATATATTGTATAGACGACGGCTGCTGTGATGAATATACTGCAATGAGAAAGAGTTATTGTTTTTAGTTTTATTGCACAACAATAACTTAATCAAATTAGTATAAAACATTAAATATGAAACTTCATTTGTAAACAGTATAAACGTCTGTGAATGGAATAAAAAAACTTACTGCACTTTCCACTGTAGGAAGAAAAACAAACCTTTTAAACAAGTTTCTGAAAAGCAAACTTTCTGAGGAACTGTAGATATTGAACCTAGGCATCTATTTTTGATCCTCTCCATTCCTATCAATCGCTATCCTCATCGCAAAGAATGTCAGTATCGGCACTATCACCAGGATCATTAGAACCACTTTCACCATCCTCATAACTCTCTCCACTGGAGCTATCAGACAGGCACTCATATTTTAACTTCAGTTCTTCATACAGCTTCATCATCTGCTGCTTAGCTGCAGCAAAGAAGACATTGCGATGAATGAGGTATTGCAAATATACTGCATCCATCTTTGACAACTTCAAATTGTCTTCAGTTTGATCTAAGATTTCAAAATCTACTGAACCATGTATACCATCAGGGAAACATCTTTGTACTACCTCAGTGGATGTTATCCTTTGTAACAAAGCTGTAACTCCTCTTGCAAAACGATCTCGTTTTCGCTTCTTCACTTTTCTCCTGTTTTCTTTTCTCTACTTACTAGTATTCTTTTTTTACTTACATCTGACAGTCCATGAAATACATTTCTTAACCAAGTCACTGTTTTATAAAGATCTGCCATGAACTTAGTAGATTGACTGCAGTTCACTCACCATGCTGTCATTGTAAGCCGTCTGTTCAGTAGCCCACTGTTTTAGGTGTCTTCCATAACTGGTAAATAAGTCAGAGTAACGTTCCACAACCAGTGCCAAACAGTGAGAGGCCGTACCACTTCTTAAGCGTGTATGAGACCCAATGTGTGAATAGTAATAGTGAAAGAAGACAGCCAGATGATTGGCAGCCGCGTTTCAACATCACGCAGAATTTCAAAAATGGGCTTTTATTTTTGGCGAATACTGAGAGCATCAAAGAATTTTCCTTTAAGTATGCAGTGGAAGAGCAATATGTCATAGACTATTTACAACACCTTACCACACTATAAAAGCAAATGAAAACCATTAGGGGAAAAGGTAGAAAGAAACAACAAAAAAAGAAGCAGGAAAAAAGTCATAGTGATTATGACTGGATTTCTTTGGTGTTGAATGGGACACTAAAAACATTGACAGTAGCTGAGTTGGAAAAGTACCTGGACCATAATAAGCTACCAAAAAAGGGAACAAACAAGACAAAATGAAAGCAATTACCAGTGATGTAATCAGAAAATCATATAAAGATCAAGCAAAAACACATAAAATCACTGAACATTTACAAACTGTAAACATCAGAATGTACAACACTGACGAAACTGACTCAGAGGACTCTGATGGTGATCTCGTTGACAGTGCAGAGGAAATAGAGACTGATGACTTAATAGTTCCATAAACTGTAGTGACGAGGTCAGGGAGAAAAGCTGGAACCTGGAAGCATGCAACGATTCATTAATGTAAATCTTTATTGTTAAAAAAAAAAAAAAATCATGGGGGGGCTACCATATTTTGTCTTTTTCTAAGGGGGGACAGCAATAACATGTGAAATTCACCGGCACCCCCTCGGTGACTCTAAATTTGCACCGAAAACGATAGCATGATCATACGGCTACAACAGAGGGCGTATGTCGACAAGAAGAGACTCAAAGCGAGGCTCTGGGTCACCCATATTGCAGCTAGCAGTTTTGAACGGAAAGACGGGGCCGGGTTTTGGACAGAAATTATAGGTGAGTAATGTTAAAACACGATCGGTCGTCTTCCTGTACATGAATCACGATGGAGTTGAAAATGATGCGCCAGTCAGTGTAAACATTGGCCCTTGACAAAACCCAAAAACATGGTGCCGACCACAGGCGCTCGGAACGTTTCTTGGCTAATAAAAAATGACCTAAAATGGGATTGGCATAGTTA